AACAGACGGAGTAAAGGCGGGATAACCTGATCCGAAGAATAAAGAGGTTGACGCTATGTGGAGGACGATGAGTCTGCTGGAAATGAATTAGTTGAGAAGAAATAGTTGTAGATGCGTCTGGAGATATTAATCCCTCACACCACTTTTAGATTATTTTAATCGAAAGGTTTCACACAGAATTACAAGTCGTTGACTCAACAATTAAATGATCTGTCGTACTCCACACAAACCGGTCTATTAAAGTGGCAACAATGGTACACACATACTATCAAGAATACCTGATAAGTCGCAAGATATCGTGCTTCGTGAGAGATTCCCGCTACCAGATGACCGACTGGAGATGTTCTCGACGTCGACCAATGTCCTTATAGTACTTCCAATCGTATCGTCTACTCACGAATGATGGCTTTGATGAGGATAATATTAATCTACCGCTTCTGTCTGATGGATCGCCGGTGTATAGCGAACAAGATGAGTCGGACCCTAGTCGTCAATACGTTGACGATTACAAAATTTTGCTTTTGATTACTTATGTACCGATGAGTTTGCGAGAGGCGTTGCCTTCAACGGGCGCAAAAAATGGAAGCAGCAATTCAAGTAGAGATTAATGATCATCCTAAGAACCACACATGGGGCGCTACTTACCATCCTCCAGTTTTCACGATCATAGGTCACAAGCGATTGTTTATGCACAAGTACAATGAAAACGGTCTTATCGCTCGTTAGTAATCGCTTTTGGTTTCTCTCGGATACCTGTAAGCGCATGATTTTAATTTCATTGACAAAGATTCACCTTTCGCCTGCTAAAATGCGAATTGTGTGTTTTTGTCTTTTGTGGCAGCATTAAATATACGATCCGGTAATTTGACGTGGAAATGGCGTTGTTAAATGGTGACATGGAAGAGGACGTTTTTATAGATCCATTCCATGTAGTTAAGATTGTACCAGGAATGGTGTGCAAAGTACGACGCAGCTTATGTGGGTCGACACGAGCGCTGCGGTATGGAAAAAGGAAGATGTTCTGGGTTTTAGGTCTTGGACATCGAACATTGTCGAGCAGACACATGTCTTTTTGTTCGACGCAATCATTCAGAAAACAATCCCCACATACCCAGTCTTGTGCATGGAAGACCTCCTTATTGGATGCAAATCCAATGCATAGACAGACCAGATTTTAAAGATATTGTCAGAGTATTTTAACTGTCGAGTCCCTTGGATTTGTGCGTGTTTTTTCTCTAAGCATAGAAGTGAATTACTCACAAGAAAAGGAAAAATAAATGGTAGAAAAGACTCAATTTACTATTAGTTGGTCTCGAAGTTCAAGCAAAATAGAGCTCATGCAGTTCTCAACCCCATCTGCACAGGCCAGGACCTAACTCTGAAAAGATCATTCCCAGTGCTAAAGGACATCACTTTATATCGCAATTTTGTGAGTTCTCTGTTTGACGTTGCGAATGCAACGCGAACATACACAAGCAACACGGTGTCATCGTTATCGCATTACTTGTACCAGCCACGAAAAATTCACCGGCGTGAAGCTTGACGCGTGTTACACTATCTTATAGGAACAAAATCGCGCGGAATTACGTACAAATAATTCGAACGAGAAACAGATAATGCTTAGGGATTACTGTGACGCAAATTCGGAATCGATAAGAAAAATCATCAATCCAAGTTCGATGTGCTAATTTTACTCGGGGATGCAATTTACGTACAGATCATTTAACGCAAACCTTTGGTCGCTTTATCGTCTGCAAATGTGAAACGTGTGGCATTGGCACAAGCTACGCAAGAATTCATGCAGATTCGTTTTGTGCTGGAAGAGACGGGTGACACGAGTAAGACAACGACTACGGTCCATATGTACAGTAGGCGATGAGCAATGCACCGAATCAAGGGTTTTCATACACCTAGAGCTAAGCACATTGAACTCGCAGCGCATTTTATTCGAGAACACATTAGGCAAAGTGATATTCAGCTGTAATACGTTCTGCCAGCTATAAAACTTGCTGATATCCTGAAGAAGTTACTTGGTGCTCCGCAATTGATGTGCCTACGCGATGAATTTATTATACGCGAGATTGGAAGCTTAAGGGGAGTGTAGATAATCATGATTTATGACAACAATGTGTGTGTTGCATAAAAGGCAGCTTGCATTGGACAGAGATTTTTCGAATTATCTGAATTGAGTGATCAGTTTAAGAGGAGATTTATGCATTCGTCTTAGTAGTAGTTTAACTCTAAACGGTAATCTCCAATTACTAACACAGAGAAGTAGTTTAGCTATCGTTATAGCACCTTTAGCACTGTCTATTTCAGGAATACAAATGTAATAATATATCGATTAAAGTACTGTACCTAATAAGGGCAAGATCAAAAAACATGTATGCAAAGATCACGAGGTGTGGTGAGGTGAGGTGGGAAAAGGAGAAGAGTCTCGTACTCTGTGTCGCATTCCGGCGGTTCCCCTTATGATTCCATAGCGTATTTATGGGGCACCGGTAACGTGCGATAATTATTATATTTGATATCTTAGAAGTGTCCATGTTGTAAATGGGGTATCCGCCTTTCTAGTCTATAAGTCTGTTGAGGTGTAACAATTAGCAAAAACCGAAGGGTGAAATTAGCAGCTCATTTTATCAGATACATCATTTTCATTGCTTGCTTGTGGTACATTGATCACATTAAAGAATATTATAAAAGGCGACACGATTTGATAATATGACCAAAACGCGACACGATTGTTTAAATGCTTTTGTCACGGTCTTTACCCAGGTGCACTGTAATAATTTATGGAAGGACACAGAAAATTACAATTTTGCTTAAAATAAGCAAATAGCAGATGTTGTGAAGAAGTTTTTCGACATCTAATACGTTTCCTCAACGTCAAGCAAATACTTTTCTAATACACAGCTATGAAAGGGCACTATGTAAATGTGTTGAGCTTGTTGACACTGATCGTGTTCAATTTACACAACGTGATCGAATACGTTCATATCATAGTTGGCAGCCTCATATTCATAACGCTAGCTTCGGTCTGCTAGACGTACAATCGTTTTGTGAAGAGCTCATTATGATCACCGCGTTACACTTTGAATTGTCCTTCCAGACTTAGGAGAGGCGGATGAGCGGTAAGGAGGCGGTGCATGCGGTTGAACTGTATGCTGAAGCGAAATATCCCGCAAACTCGTGTACTGTAGTGCTGATGCCGGATGTGTTTGATTCGTGTATATATCTCGCATAAGACAGGGTGGCATAGGTGATTGCGATGGACAAGAGCGATCTTGTCACACGTAAAATGTAGTGAAAGAGCCAAAGTAACTCAAAATCAACTTAGTGCTTACCCAAGTATAAGGTTCCCCCTTGCGGCGAGCCCATCATCAGCGGCCTGAGATCCGTCACCCAGCTTTGACACCAAGATGGAATTAAGGCAGATAGAAGCACAATGTACTGCGCGAAAGAAACTGTGGCAGCAGAGAGTTCCATGAGGATCCAAATTCGATACGGCTGTCGAAAAACTTCTTTATAACACCTGCTATTTGCTTATCTTGAACAAAAATTGTAATTTACTCTGTCCTTCCGAAGACCAATACAGTGTACCAGGGTAATTTGACGTGGCAAATGTGTTAAATCAAACCGTGTCACGTTCTGTCAATCGTTCAAACCGTGTCACCTCTACGAATATTCCTAAAATCGTATGTTTACGTGTTTGCACATACGTAGTATTCTAGCAGCTTGACACCATGTAACATATCTATCCCTACTTTTCATTCTTTATGGCTAATTCTAATATTCATACGTTTCCCTACAAACCAATAATTCACGAGCAATTAGTTTGTCCGATAATTTCGCCTGCACAATTAGAAATTGGAAAGTTAATGTTGCAGAAAATTTGGTTAGATGGTGACTTGTTGGTTGTACACATCAATTTAGACGTGGAATATTAGCGCACTAATTAATTAGCGGAGAGTGCGCAATTGCCAATGCACTGGAAGCGTTTCTTGGATGAATGGCTCGAAGACTGCATTACAATTACAGAGAGCGGCCAAAGTTCGTGTTTTCAGGTGCTGTGACCAATATCGGGTACAGTGTGGTGTTTGTTGTAGACCGTCCGTTTCTTGTAGATGGGCAGCTGTCGATGTGTCCATTTCTAGGTCTAATGAGTCGTAAGATACTGTAGTTGTTAAATTGTTTTTCTATCCATCCATTACATGAAATCCTGTACACTGAGATTGTGTAGACATGGCACCATTGTCATCCTGGTTATACGGTCTACCCACTGCTTGTAGCCTTTCGTATGTGGTACAGTGTGTGCGACCTTTTTCCGACTTGTGGGTCCGTAGGATTTCTTGCACCCTTTGGAAGAGATATGCCAAGCCGTATTACCATGCGGTAGCACGTATGTGAAGACGTCGACGAGATGACAAAACTTCGGTCAACGGCTACAACTTGAGGTCTTCTGAGATTCGGAACGCAGCGGCAAGCTTACAAATCGGCGGCGTTGAAAAGAAAAGTTAACGACACATTGTTTCAAGGCCTAGACTGTCACGACATCGGCTGTGCTTGCCATGGACGTCCTCATGCTTGGCGGATAAGTGAGATTCTTGTTCGACGCTGTAATCATCACTCATGTCAGTAGGAAGTTGATGCGGTCAAATTTATCGGCAAGTCAACAATGAAGACCAAGAATGTGGATCCCCTTTCTCAATCCAATCGTTGCAAGTGATTAAGGATTGATAGCGTGTAGTATTCGGGTACACGACCTAACGAGCGAGGGGCGCGCGGCATAAATCATCCAAAAGACCTTGTATTCAATTCCTCGCTACTGCCGAGATCTGTTTGTTGCCATCCGGTGTACCTCTCGCATCTCTTGTTACTGAAGCAGCTGGAAAGTCTCACACGAACATACGAATGTCATTACCACTCTTCCGACTTCTCGGACGTTCGCTTTACTTCACCCATCAACATGCATCAGACCAGCTCCTCAATTTCGGTCCGAATCAGTTTATCGCTTCCATCTGCTCATCAGGCACAGTGCCTTCTACAAACTGATGGCGGGCGCCACCAACAGGGGCGCCACATTCGGGACAGCGGGTTTCCTCCATCGCCATTCCACACTCCCCGATCGAATACGAGTGGCCATTAATGCAGCGGTACCAATGACCCGAGCCTCGAAACTCCGTCTGCATTGCCATCTTGATCAATTTCATCTCCTCCATTGATACACTTTGGTAATACGTGGCACTAGCTGCTCGCTGGATAATGCGTTCAAGTCGTTGCCCGAGCAGTACGACGTCGTTTCCGTATTTGGACAGGAAAGACGCTCCTGACGCTCTCAGACCTTTCAGCAGTTCATAAGCTTCAGCAGTGGGCTTCTCCACAGCCTTTTTGCGCTCTTTATGCTCTTTTCGATTCTCTAGCGTCTTACTCAGTTTGGCTTCAGCATCGGCAAGCAGTATCTGCACAAGCAGCAGCCGAGCTTCACGTGCCTGTACTTCGAACGATCCTTCGGCAAACAAATCCACCGCTTGGCGAGCATATTGCTGCGCTCGAGTTCTTGTCGATACGTTATCACCCAACATTGAGAGCTGAGCAGAGAGCAGGTAAAAGCATCCCAGGTATTGGAACGACGAGTTGGGTACTGGCAGAGTGCTCGAGTCAATGTAGACATCGCCTCCTCCTTGACCACCCCTACTCTTCGTCACTAGCGCCACGCAAGCCTCGTACACCTTCTGGCATGGAGGTCTCTTCACAGTGACTCCAAACGAACGGAGATCGTGCCGCAGCGCCCTGTCATCCGTGACACCACCGTTTTCAATAGCCGCATTTGTCCGTTCCTGTAAGCGGACCAGTTGACGTTGTGCGTGGGAAATGAAATTCTTGTCAGCTGAATCAATCGCCGCTCTCTTGGTCACGCGTCCGTACCGTCGAAGGTTACGAATCGGTTTGCTGCAGTTCGGACATTGGGGCATGCTCATGTAATTCCCAGGCAAGGCTCCACGCGGGTTTCCATGACTATCGTAGAACTCGCCCATGTGAAGCGTACCATCAAGCGTTTCCATAGTGTAGACCATTGAGCAACATGAGAGCACCAAGACCGGATCTTCACTCGGATCAACATCACCGTACGTCCGGAACATAATCACGTCGGCTACGCGCTCCTTGATATTGTCGTCGCCGCAGACTTGACAAAACTCCGGCGTGGGGCAGTCTTCTCCACACACACTCGGACACTGATGACCACATTCGAGTGATTTCGTGCATCTTCGATCACACAAACGTCGATTGCAAGGGGCACCGCAAGGCAGATCACACGTTCCATGGTGCTCGCAGCTCCAGGTGCACGATTCCGTGCAGGCAGTGCAAGGCTCGCAGCAGGGGTGATTGCAAGACCCATGTTCACATTTGAAGACGTCGCAAATACGCTGACATGGGGGACAAGGTGATGTTCCGTGGCAAATTCCACGGCATCGATGACAACAAGGCAGCACTCGCTCGCACTCTTTTCGACAATCTCCGTGTTCGGTAGCAGCAATTGGGAAATCTGGCTCTGTGTCGTCCTCACGGTTCATTAGCGTCCTATCAATACAATCACTGCACTTGCGGGAGCAAGCATGACCACACGGGAGCACCGCACCGCACAACCGTGTACACTTGACCTTCACAGTGCTACAAGCGACACGCTGAACGTGTCCACAAGAAAGAACAATCTTATCGACCATTACGTTGCACCTCAGTCTTGCCAACTTCTTAGCCTCGAAACATCGTGCGTTGTCGTATGTGTGTCCACAAGGTAGAGCAAGTGACCCAACGCGAACTTCGCACCGGCCACAGGGATCCCCACAAATTCCAGGGCATACATGTTCACAGCCAGGTTGAAGTCGTGGACACGGCTGCGTACAGTACACAGCAGCGTGAGATGGCTGATCCACGTGGCAGCACTTTGGGCACGCGTGTCCGCACTTCGGAAGCCGCTTGCCACATGGACGTAGACACCCTCCATCCGGTGCGAGTTCCGCAAAGGAGCCCGGATTCGTAGCGAAACGCAAGTCATCTGAGTGACGTTGGCATTTCAGAGGTAGCCCAGTACCATAACATTCATCCTTTTGCAAATGATCGATCACTTGGCACCACAGAGGCGATTTCGTGCGCAGCAAGTCGCCATGACCGACCAAGATCAGCCCATGTTTTGCTCGAGAAAGAAGCACATTGATTCGGTTCGGCGTCTTGAGAAACCCAATTGATCCACGACCTTGTGCGTTCGTGTTACTGCGGACGAGGCTTGCCAAGATAATTGTTGCTTCCTCTCCTTGAAAATTGTCGATTGTTGCTGCACGAATCTCTCCTGACAATTGTTTCTTGACTGCTCCAAGCGAAGCCTGACTGTTCGTCCTAGCTGTGTCAACCATTTCATCATCTTCGCTGTCATCGTCCTCATCGCCGGACGTACGATGGATTTCGTCCAGGTCGAGCTCATTCAGCTCCAGAGTAAACTTTCCTCGGAGCGCGGAGCGTAATTTGATAAGCTGACCAACGTAAGGAGTGAGAATGGCGATATCACTCGTGTGATATCCCTGCTGTAAGAGGTAGATGAGAGTTGCAATAATGTACGCGACTTCGTATTCATTGGAATGAGAGCGGGATGGCGTCCCGACCGCAGCAGCCGTATCACCTTCAGGATGATCGTGCGTCACGAAAAATACGTTCTTGTTCATGCCCCGGAGAGATGGGTATTCCAGCGTCTCACGCGCATCGCGAACTTTCGGGTAAAAGAGCATACGTATCAGCTGAGAAATTTGTGGACGCATGCGGTGTTGCTCCGTTAGCATCCAAAACGGCAGACCTGAGGACGGCGAGACCAAGCGCTCAAACAGCGATACGTCCAATGCAAACCGTTTCCCACGATCACTTTCGACACTAAGGTTGTACTCCGAAATGTGCGGGCGAAGCTGCTTATGATCACCAATAAGCACAAGCTGCTGACAGGCTGGAGACAGACATGCCATGAGTTGTGCCTCAAGTACTTCCCCAGCCTCTTCGCAAATTACAACAAGGGGTTCTACAGCCGCAATCTTCCGCTGGTTTTGCGCCACCCCCGTGGTTGTCATTCCGATGATCTGAACACGCGTGAGTATGTCAATATCTGCTTGGTCCCTTACAGTTTCAATTTTATTCATCGTTTCTTGATAAGCTTCCTGAGCTTCAATTAGCTCTTCGACAAGTTCGCCATGCATCGCACTAACCCATTCCGCGAGAGCAGCTTGACGCTTTGGTAGACTCCACATCCACAGATTCCGCATCCTGTCGTTCGCACCCTGGCGTATTTGAACACGACGATGCAGAGCAATTATGTCCATCCCCTGAATCCAATAGTCCAGTATATCGCTACACCCGGCGATATCCCAGTCATCATCGTACAATTCGGCATAGCGTTCAACAAAGTAATCGAATGCGTCTGGATAGTTGGTTTCCAAAAACTGTCTGAGTGATGTCCACGTCGGGCGACGGAGTGCCCTCGTTCAGTAGTTTTAGCTTCAGAGCAATCGCATCCGCATTTTCGTCGAGTGTAGTGTATAGTAGCTTCAGCTCGTAGCGCTGGAATTCTTTAGGCATCTTCTTGAGATTGTAGTCTTCCAGGCGGGGCTCTTTGCACTGTCCCCCAATTCGCACAAGCTTCGTGATACCAGCGTCCAGGAGGTGACACAAGAACTGATCGAGGGCGTGGTTTGTATAGCACACGACTAGAATGGGCAAGATCTTCGCCTCCAGAATTATCCGTGTGAGCATCGCCCCAATAAACGACTTGCCACTACCTGGAAGTCCTTGAATGCACGCTACACGGCTGCTCAACGCTTCTACCAATGCTTTCGCCTGATCACGCTCTAATGTTGAGTAGCGAACGAGCGCCGTCTCACACGCCTCGCGGGACTGGCGTTCAAGGGGTCGTAGACGAAGTTGATCCGGGCCACCGTTCATTGCACCCGGATGAGTTCGTAACACCGAGCTGAGGTCAAATGTAAAGCCATCCTTCGAGCAGTACATGGGAGACTCCATTTGAGTTTCGCCCGGCGTCGGTGGGGTCTCAGGGGCCAGGTATTCCAGAAGTGGCAAGGTGGTGGGTCGGATGCTTTGCAACGTACGAAGAACAGGCTCGTACGCGGCCAAGAAAATGTTATTGAACTCCAACAGCAGCATATTCAACCGACCTTGCCTTCGATCATTTCCAGCCAATGCAAAATGCCGCCATTGCTCGAGCGTCGAGAAGTCTTGAATTTCAAATGGCTGCAAAGTTACCTCCGCCACATCCTTCACGAGTTTTTCGATGTCATGCTCGACAATCTGGCAAAAGATCACTCGCATGTCACCGGCAGTATGTGTGACGAGCGCAACCATCCCTTTGTATGGAAGTCGACCCGTCTTCTCCCATAACTCCCTTCGGCCCCCTGCATCACCGTCAGCATTCCTTAAAAGTTTGTTCCGTCCAGTCAACCTTGCGGCGGATGGTTGCTGGAACTGCACTTCAATACAGAGCCCATGGCGCTCGGTGCGACGACCATTATCTCGCTCGCCTCGACTGTCCGTGTGCTTGAGTGGCATTGCAGACCCGATGATCGGGTATATGTTGTAATCCACAACAGTGCCTCTCAGACGACCAGCAACAATGTGTTCATGATTCTCAACCAGTCGATGATACAAGTCCTGTAAGCTGGACCTGATCGTCCCGCAAAAATCTTCTCGATACAGTCGAAAGTGCGTATCGATCCATCGTTCTGGTCCAGGAGGCAACCAATGAGCATTCTCGTGAAATGAAAAGTTTCCAGGCAGCAGTGGCCTCTCACGTGACAGGCATTCCTCTGTCGTAGGTAGCAATTGAATGTCTTGAATATCTTGATGATCGTTGTCGTGACGTGGACCGACACTTCCGTCTGCCAGCACAGCTTCCTCAGGCACGCCGACATCGACCACGTCCCAAGGTCCGAGCCCCGGGCCATAATTCTTTCGCTCGGTCTCCATACGCGTCGCACCCGTGCGCATGTCACGTTCACCACGTCGGATCATCTTGTGTAGTCGAGCGATTTCCTCTGTCATTACTTTATAGCAGAGCCTCGAGTCGAGGGTAGAATCGCCACCTTGACTATTCTCTTTCCACGTAGTTGTCAGAGTATCGACGCTCTTGACAGTCTCTTGAAAAGCATCTTCATAAATGAAGTCGTTGAACTTGCTGCCCAACAGATACAATAAACGGATAAGCGGGAGACATACTTGTGTGAAACACAGTGGTGCGTATCTTTGACCGTCCGACTCCTGCAGGAAAGTCTCATGCGACATCGCATTGTCGTCAATACTATGTCGCTCCACTACCTGCTCTAGATGCTTGAGATACAGCTGGAAGAGCTGCACATGAGCCGTTCGCATGAACGCATACACGTGATTGGCTTCACTCATGTGCCGACTGACCATTTCCATGCGTCGCATCGTTAACACGGTTACGAACGGAACGAGTCCTCGCTGAAAAGACACGACCTCACGACCTCGACCAGCATCGTTCGAGTACGTGAGATTGAGCAGTTCTTGAATCACGAGCAGACCCTCGACCTTCAGTCTTTCCCAACTCCCTCACGAATAGTGGCGCGATCTTGTCGTTCGTTAGCGCATACAGTCCAGAGTTGATGAAGTTCAGTGCCTGTGTTTGACTGTTCACGGGCCACGGATCACTGGTGCTATGAGGCATCAGGAACCCTTTCCATAGCACTTCCAACCGATTGGCACCGGGCCAGAAGCACACCAACGTATCGGAATGACCTGAAAAGAACGTACTGGATGCCAGTTTCTCCGTTAATTGGGCTTTAAAAGCCGTTAGCGAGAAAGGCGGTGCACGGACTACAGATTCTAAAGTCACGTCGTGGTTTTGGCGTCCACTTGAGAAAGAATTGGCATTTTCGCGACGAAACGGCGTTTGTTGTGCGACATTGTCTGGTGCACGCCCATGAACAAATTTACAGGAATCCCCAAACCGACATCTTCCCTCGCGTTGAAAGTAGAAACAGGGCTTCTTCGGAAGCATCCTTCCACCCTTGCGGTCGATAGAATGAGGAGAAAGACCGAGCTCACTAAGTTGATGGCTTCTTGTTGCGAGACGAGTGTTGAGAAATGATAGTTTCGAGAAATGAAAGTTTCTCAACCAGGGATGCTGTATTGTCAATCGTTGGTCTTACTTGTACTACTTCATGATCGATGTCAACACTCGAGTAGTTCAAAACACATCCGTATGTGCACACACATCAATGAGGTTTTATGCCGAAAAGTAAAAGACGGTGACTGGCTGTGGCCAACCTCACCAGTTGTAGATGATGTTGTTAAACGACTCGAACTGACCAGAAAGATACACAGATTCCACCTTCACATGTGTTATCGTCACCTTTCACAACAGGGACTTACACCATCGCAACTGTCCCATTTCTTAGACGAAAAAACGAGAGGAGCCGTTGGACCAGCGGCTTTGATCCAATTTGCGACGCAACGGCACGACGCAACTTCAACAATCGCTTCCCTTCACGCTTGCTGTCACTTACTCTCATTTCCAATTTGACCACAAGCTTCCCTATCAAGTCACAATGTTCCGCGTCGCTTCTTGCTCACTGGATATTCCACGTCAGCTTGCCCGCAGTATCGTATCCCCCAGATCCCCTTTCGTGGCTCTGCTGTCGTCCAAAGTACCGCTTACAAGTCTGAACAATGCTGCTGTTCAGGCGGACCTGGACCTTAACGGAACACTCGAAGAGCTCGCGGCCAGTCACTTCTCTGCAGCCTCAGCTTTCCCTGAGTTATCTTCGGTAGAAGACACATTGCTGTCAGAAGCCGTGCTTCGCACCAAGACACACGCACCCGTTATGGATGCCCACTCAAAAGCGGAGGAAGAACTCATGGCTGAGATGCAGCAGCACTTCTGCGAGTCTTCGGACTTCCCTGAGAACACTCCAGCTGAGGAGGAAGCTACACTTCGTTTGCGTACGTGAGGATCACGTTGGTGACATGGCCGTGTCGAGCGATTATTAGCCTCATACCAATTGACGCTATCGTTGAATAGTGCACGGCAACGATCGCATATGAGAGAAGCTAGTTCTAGCCAGAAACAAAGGATTCATGTCGGCAAATCATGCATTTGTCTTTTGCTACGTGAACTTCTAAATGCCACATAGTCTCAAACTCAACGACGCTATCGGCATCGTCCGCATTGACCTACTGGCCTCCTGTAAATTCTCAACGTAGCATGGGGCATGTGTGAGGATGTAGGTTGATGCAGAGCAAGCCCTCCACAGTGATCGCGCACTTGTGACGGTAAGCCGGTAACGATGACATCCAGCCCTGGGTACATGACGATGGTGTAAATTGGACTTAGCGACGCTGCGAAAAGGGAAATTAAGCTGTTGGGACCTGGGAAGGTGAGGTCGAGTGTTTGGCATAAATATAAGAGTTGTGTATCCGGAAGAGGTGACGAGCGAACGCCACATCGGGGCTGATACTAGACACAAATTCCTAGATAGTACCGCCCTTCACGAGGCCAACTTACATAAAATGCGCGGCTTAAATGAGTGCTTCTTTAAAGCAACGTGAGGGTCACCACTTCAACTCTAGAGGCTGCTATACTGACTTCGACTTGAAGGTTCTAAGTAATATACAGCACTAGATTGGAGAGATGACCTGACGTAGTGCAGGCGGATGGACCGTAGCAGGTAGCGGGCAATCGGGTGATACGGTCAGTTGGGATGGGGCACTAAAAGTAGGTATCCAAAGATGCCATTCGTAAAATGGACCGGCACGACCTGGAGTAGTGGCGGTAATTTGCATTATGACCCTGTCACTGCCCTCGCTATGGAGAGCATCAATTATGCGATGAAAAGAAAGGTAAAATCTAGTTGTATCACAGAGTACGCATTGGAGATGCGCAGCAAAAGGTGGCATGATTCTAAACACATGCTGAGTAAAGCAAAGTAGACCGGTTATTTACGGAAGGGTTGCGATCCACTAAATTTAAGCTGGCGGTGTACGCTGTAACAGAACGTGAACTTTTTTCGTTCAGCGAAGGCATCCCATCGTCTTAACGATCTGTTACTCCTATATTCAGCGCGGGCCATTACATCTTGAGGTGTTTGCTACATCATATCTAGCTCTATCCGTTGCGTGACTCTGTTACACGACACCACGTGCGAATCCATATGTTTGGGACCGGGTCCAACATCCATCTTGTTCAGATTTTCGATACATCTTTGGAGATCAATCGCATCGCTTTTAAATAGTAACTTACATGGGAAAAATAAAAGTGCCCAATTTAACCACGAAATTATAAAAATGCGCTTTTTAATCACGAAAATAAAAATGCCATTGATAACTAGAAATATAGTATTGCCCCACAAACGCCCAGAACAATTGGAAATTACCACCCCCCATTGAATCACAACAAAACTACCCTAGATGCTAGGCGTAAAGCACTACACCTCGAGTGTAGTGCTTTAATTTCCTGACATCAATTGCACTCAACCACGCGCTTACTGCTTAAAAAGCGAGGCCTCTCGCTCTCAACCTTTCATAGGCCCATTGGTTCTGGAACTCCGCCTCGAATTGTCTCGAAGGACGATATGGTCATGCTGGAGTGATCTAACTTACACGAAAGGATAGGCCTTTTATACCACAGTTGTAATCGCTTCCTCACGAAACTTCATCTCTACGCCGAATGTGTTTCCTCACGAATCCATCTGTAACGACCTGTAAGAACATCGTAAGCAACATGAATTCTCTGACAGGGTTTGCTACCATGCAACTAGCCGAGATAACAGACGTGCAGATAGTCTAAGCATAAACGTATAACAAACCTAGTTGTATTTTCAGGAGCTCTGAAAGAGGCCCGAACCTAGCTCTTGGCAACTGAAAGGTTTGGCTGAGCAGGTATTTAAGGCCGTTAATTATCTAAACTTGTTTGGATCGTGTAAGTGAAGAAATTAGGGTACAAGTTTTTGGCACACTTCCTGACAAATTTGAGATGGAAAATGCGACTTGCCTATTTTCTCATCGTCGATGTAGCAAAAAAGCCTTAATGACGTCGTCAGCTTCAAGAAACCATATCAACAGGAGAAATGTGGTGGAGAGCGATCGCTCATTTGATGAGGCAATCCCGGCTCTCCACTGGCGCCCGGACGACCGACTAACAGAGGGGGTACTCCGATTCCGTGTGTCTTGCCTTCATCACCTGGTGTACCCGTCAGTAGGGCGGGTTGCACTATTCCAGGTGGACTCGTGTCGAAAGAAAACTTGACCGTGTTGGGGATGGGGTTGTGATCGTGCGAAAATCTTCACGCGATCACGAGGTACTTGTGGGTACTGATATAAGTTATCCTGATCTCAACGAGATCGCCTTGTCCATTATGGGGTTGCTTGATCCGCGAGCCTTCTGACCACTTGAGCCGTCTCGCGATCTTGCGCCTTGTCTTAACGTGTTTTGTTGCGTCCGATCGCAGTTGATGTTGCTTGAGAGTTCTTGAACACACCCGGCCAAAACAATCCAGGTGTGATGCTTGCGTAGACGTGTAGCGCGACTCTTTAATCGACGGGGGCCAAATATCCTCCCCGGAAGAGATAACGTGTGCTTTGGAAATGTGCGGGGGGCCCGGGGGGGGGGGGTGAAGTAAATTGTACTCTGTTTAATGTTGACCAACCAACCTAAACCCTACCCCTATGCCTATCCGCAAATCCTAACCAGATGCCACGCATCGTCTTTCCAGGAAGATTGTCCCCTCGCATTTTTGTGGTTTACAACCAGTATATCAGCAGTTGTATCTTCTTGCGGCCCACCCAAGACATCCCCATGATCCTGCTAGCGGATCGTGATCCTACTAGCGGATCGTGATCCTACTAGCGGATCGTGATCTTACTAGTGTCGTTTTTTGGGTGAGTGGATCGTGATCCTACTAGTAGATTGTGATCCTACTAGTAGATCGTGATCCTACTAGTAGATTCGTGATCCTAACTAGCGGATCGTGATCCTACTACAGTAGATCGTGATCCTACTCCAGTGGGATTGTGATCCTACTAGCGGATCGCAGCTGAGATCGGACTTGCGATCCTAGGTTAGGATCGCGGTCTTCCAGTGAGATCGAGGATCTTGTCTTGCCACGTCTCATGACGGATTGCGTAATAAAAACGGGTGTGACCACCCTATAGCCTCGTCCCAGGCTGTACGATCCTGTCCACTTGGGGTTTGGGTACGCTATAGCCAGCCACCCGTACTGGCCTGTATCCACCAATCATAGCATTCTTGGCTTACTAGAGCATGCGATCCGTGCAATCGCCGATCCAAGTCCCAATTGTAATTTCCTTGTGACCGCTTTGCCGCAACCTTCCCCTGCACCGTCAGTCATCATACGGTGTTGATCTGGCTGTGCACCTTGTGTGCTATATTCCTTTTCACGCACTTTCACATCTTCTGACACGATGTCCGATCCAGCCCACCCGGATCAGGTATACCCTCCTGCTTCAGGATCGGGGCCCCTCGGTTCGCCCTCTGCAATCCCAACCTCAGATGTCGGAACCTCGACGCCTACTAGTCCTGCGATCTCAGTCGTTTAACCGTGCCGGTGACAGAGTGGGATCGCTCGGCTGTGGTAACGTCGGCCCAAATGGAAGAAGACTCTGGTTTGTTTTGCATCGCGATCCCTCTGTCGCGATCCTCTTCAATCCCAGCTCCAGACAGGACCTCCGCCGGCCAAAACGTCCCAACTTTGAATCCGACTGAGCCCATCTTGCTCCCAATTACTCGGATAGAAGCCTCGGGTTCGGCCGATCGAGCCGCGCTAAACGCAGCGATTGTTACGCTTTACCTTCTCCTGAACCTCCAACAGACTATCGGTAATCGGTACCAGAGTATGGAGGCTGCTTTAGAGCAGCAGATGATCTAGAATCTCCAGCTTGGTGAGGACCTTCAGGAGCTCCGCACCTCCGCGTCCCTTTTCGCTCAGTTCATAAAATCGAAGTATGACTGGTTGCGAGCTCGCTATGAAGACGAGTTCAAGC